AGAAAGAAAAAATAACGTCAATATCTACCACTGCTCTACTGGGATCATTGTATAACATAAAACAGCCATCCAGTGATGCTTCCCACACAAGTTGGCGTCAGAGTAAATTTTGGTGACATTTGGCCAAACTTGTAGAACATCCTTGACTTTTATGTGAAGGGTGTATTGTGTGAAAACACATTGCAAACAATGTACAAACAAGAGGGAATGTTTCCAGGTCATGACGGTCATGTTCCAGGTCACATTTTAGAACATGCCTGAAAAATCTGGAAAACCCATGTCCTAAGATACATACATTATACTGTGAAGTGAAGAGTAAAGTAGGGAACTCAAAATACTCAGCATGCTATTTGTCATTAGTCATTAAATAATTGTAGAAATATTGGAAACTGTGCAGCAGTTACTGACTTCTGATATAAAAAGTGCCATATTTCAAAAGCATGTTCAAGACTCGTTCTTTTTAAGAATGCTAACTAGATTTTAGTCGTATCATCTGTTGTAGATGTTTTAACTTTTGCAATGTCTTTAAAATACTAAAAAACACACGGTTCAAATTGTCTTATTAGTGAGCTAGCATTCTTTTCTGAGGCCCTGGAAGTGTTTATTAGCAGTTTATTCATTTGTTATTTTCATGTGCCAGTAGTTTAGTGTCACTTAGATTATTTTTGGTCTGTAACATCTAGATTCACACCAATTTTGTCAACAAAATACAATTGTCCCTTTAATGTGGGTTAAAATGGTGTTAAGATGTTGGTTCTAATCATACTTTGGACAATCATATATAATAATTGTTATAATATAATATCTGGGTATTATCATTGATAACAAATTAAGTTTTGGTCCACATATTAAGTATCTGAGTAAAAAATTAAAGAAGAAGTTAGGGTTTTACTTTAGAAATAAGTCATGTTTCCCATTTAAGGTGAGGAAAAAACTAGTGTCCGCTACATTTCTACCGATTCTCGAATATGGGGATGTGGTTTACCAGCATGCCCCCTCTTACCTTCTTCCTTGGATGCTTTGTACCATGGTGTTCTGAGATTTATTACTGATTGTAAATTTTTAACTCATCATTGTGAATTATATGAAAGAGTTGCATGGCCTTCCTTGAGAATACGGAGAAAAATGCACTGGCATTTGTTGATATATAAGGCAATTTTGGGTTATTTGCCAAAGTATCTCTGTTGTTTTATACAAAGGACTTTATTTGGAAATCATTCATTACATTCTCAATCAAATTACAATCTCTGTATGCCTTTTGTCAGAACTGAGCTTGGTAAAACCTCTTTTAAATATGCTGCAGCCTCAGATTGGAATCTTCTTCAAAAGGAGAGGAAGTTACAAAACTTGGTGTCTTATAATTATTTTAAGTCCTTATTATGTAATCTTGAGAGCAACTTAATGGTGTGTAATTGTTTTTAACCAGTTATATGTTGGTTTTGTAATGTATGTTGTAACTACGTTGTTTATTTGTATATGCAAACTCGGCTGCCTATCTTGGCCAAGACACTTGGAAAAGAGATTTTAATCTTAGTAAGTCTCTTCCTGGTTAAATAAATAAATGAAATAATGGCATTCGCAATATAGTGGATAATTGTATCATGAATTGTCGCATGTTTTTTTCCCCCTCTTGCAAATATTACTTTATTATATTAAACACAAACTGGTCAAGAAATCCTTCTCTTCTGCATGTTTTCACTTAATTTTGGAGTTTCACAAATTCTGCCACTTAGTGGGTATGATATGAAGAGAGTGGGTGAATGAGACAGTGGAGCTTCAGATGAGAAGAATGGAGGGAATGTAAGTCTAGTTCCCACCATTTCCTGACGCAATCTTCCCCCTTCATTCTCTCGCTTCTCTCTTCCAGTAAACAGACCACAGGATCACAGGTCAGTCATATTACATATTCTTTTCTAAAATCAACCCCTTTTTCTGCATATTCAATGAAGTATTTGACTTTGGAAACCATATTTAATTATATTTTCAGTCATGGTTCTCTTTATTTACAGTGAACTCGTAATTTTACTACTTACTATATATTTTGTGTTACATGCTCAAAAGTTTTTT